CCTGCAGCATGGTCTAAAAAAAAATCTATAAATTTAAGGGGCTCCGTATGAAAATGTTTGTTTATATGATATGTGATTGGGTCGATTTACATTGTTGTCAAATTTGTTTTAATTCTCAAAGTATCAATATTGGTCCAACGCTCAACTATTGGGATATTACTGAAAAAAAAGTAATGACAGGAGAACAGAAATGGAGAAGAAATGGAGTTGATAATAAGACCAGTGGCGTACGCAGAAAGAAAGAGAAAAACAAGCACACGTGTGGTTACAAAAATCTGCTTGAGGCTTACCAACATCTTGTCCCTCAATAATAATCAATAGTTCTCCTTATACGTGATACTAGGCAATCCACCCCCTCCCTACTTGTGTTCTCTCCCACAGTCCGCTTCTTTCTGCCTTTCAGCCTCCTCTGAATCCCCTTATCGCCTCCTCTCTCCTTGTACCTTAAGTGTAGCTAAAGTTTATTCTTGGTTGATTTGACGCGCGACAAGCGAGGCATGTAGTGCAGACGGTGGCTTACTCATCTCGCTTCAAGGGTCAGTGCCACAGGGGCAAGGAAGAGAGGGAGGAGAGGGTGAAAGAGAGGCAGAGATGGACCTCTCTCAGCCCAACTTAGAGGGAGGCAGAAACAGTGGCCAGTAGATCCTCTTGAGGTGATGTGGTGAGTGATGTGTGTAGTGTGATGTGTGGTGTAGTTGTGTGTGTCGTGTGTCGTGTGTGTGTGTGTGTAGTCGTGTGTGTGGGTTGGTGTGCGATGTGGGTTTTGTGTGTGTTTCTGTGTCTGTGGCACGCATGGTGTGTTGTGCATATTTATGCCAGTTGTGTTGATGTCATCTGTTCTCCACAGCTTTGCCGTAATGAGGTCAACGAACAAGTACAAGTCTCCTCCGTGCCTCACTTGCAGCTACAGATGAACACACACATCCTGTTGCTGTCTCTTTCTCCCCTCACTGTCTCAACTACCTAAACTCTTCCATTATTCAAACAAGCCATTCAGAGCAACACATGTCAAACTGGAGGGATTCGGGGGCGCACACGTGTGTCCCTTTTTGTGTTTTGCACTTTGTGTAAGCCGCGTGAAGTTCAGGGGAAATGAAAATGCCCCTCTACAGATTGGAAAGACCTCAGAAAAGGAAGAAATTGAAGTGTGTAAATGTTTGGCTCTTCAGCGTTGATGTCCAGAGTATCAACACTTCAAGGATGCAATAACATTGCCGCTCAAACACACCAGACGTCTGATCCCCTAAGAGGGAGCTCTATTCTGGAGGGAAAAGAACAGGCAAGGAAATGCATGCATAATAATTCAGAACAGTGTGTGTGTGGAATAATGAATGATGGTGTGTGTTTGCAATCGCATAAGCAGATAATGGAAATTTTTCTCTCTCTGTCTTTTTCTCGCTGCCTCTCCTCCTCCTGTCCTCTACCTGTCTGTCTGCTCGGTGTAACGCAGGTAATATTGCCTCGTTAGGTTTCAAAGGGCAAAAAAGAAAAAAAGAAAAAGCCGCTTCCCCAGATATTCCCCAAATTCCAGCTCTATTGATTCCGCCTCATTACAGATGGGAACGTCGAAGCCTTTGTCCAAGTGCTCCGCTTGGTCTACTCTTAATTAACACTGCCCTCTCCCAGTGCCCCTAAATGGAGACAGAGAATGAGACGAGGCTCTCACTTTTTCCCCTAAGCTTCAACCTGTCTTTTTTCCTTTCCTCCGGGCTTCTCACCTCTCTGAGATCCAAAGCTCTGCAGCTCTTAAACAGGCTTAAATCAATCGGGCTTGATTTGTAAAATTCAGTATAAAATGCTAGTATTGAATTCTCCTTATGAAATATTGTTAAGTGATTGTGATTATGGAACGACAGAGCCGCAAGCTACCAAATAATGTCTTCAATCATCGTTTGCCCGATGAGAAAAATTAGAGCTTTCACCTTTAATTGTCTCTAAGTTTCCTCTCTTATCTTCACCTTTTTCCAATGACCATTAAGAGGAAACATCACCAACATCTGAACCGTTCATCTCTTCAATGATTTGGGTTTTATGGAAATAACTAAGATGATGAATAGTTTGAGTTCGCTGCCGTGTAAAAGTGCAAAAAATTAATAGTCTCTCATTAATAAAATTAATCTCACTGGAACATAAAAATTGCAATGCGCTGCACCATGGCCCCCACAATTTCGAAAAGCACTTAAATGCCACCTAGAATTGTTCAATTGAGACCACAGGTAGTGTATGCACAACCCAGTTTGTGGGTGAGGTGTGTGGACAAAAAAGGCATAAAACAATAATAATGCACACTGAGGAGACGCTCCCAGAAATGATTCTAGTTGAATTTCAGATTGGCCTGATGAAGATATGATATTGAAAACAGAAGTTGTACTAAATAAATATTTTTTTGGCGAACATCTGTTAAAGTTATGTGTACACCTTTTTCTGTGGTATAATTAAAATGAGTCTTTCTTTTACCTGGAACTAGTGAATAGGACTGCGGACCGGAAATGAACACTGGCTCCTAACTCTGCCCTGTCCAGAATTGGCCAAAACTGGTTCTTCTCATCTCGTCGCAGATCCGCCTTGCTAGTGAGGCCATGGCCGAATAATCTGATGTCTGGGAAGAAGCAGGAGTGGAAGAAAGTTCAGTAGTCCGAACAACAAAGCAATCACGACATATCTTCTGATTATGACTGAAATATATACAGCAGTGCTGGATGTTTGCTTACAGCCTGTGGATTCAATCTGGTCTGATTATATATTTGCTAATTTCTGACATCGCTTCCTTATAGCAGAGAGGCAAAAGAAGCTTTAGTGTGAACACACACACACACACATGCAACACATAACACAGAAGCACCTACAGCTGAGAGTTTATTGATCTGGTTTACAAGACAGGGATTTATGTACAACCCAGTCCAACAGTTCTATAAGCCACAAGATTCAGCGTCCTCTTTCCTTTCATCTCTCTCTCACACACACACGCCACATATGATATATATATATATATATATATTAATATAGTATATATATATATATATATATATACACACCACTTCAATCCTCTATTCACTATATGGTTTTAAACTTCTGTAGTGTGTGAGTGTGTGTGTGTTTTAAGTGCATTGGGAGTCTATGTGTACGTGTGCTGAGATGATCACAGTTCTTATTGTTGTTGGTATCTGGGGAGAGAAGAGGCTTTGTGTTCGCCATGGTCTATGTGATGCCACTGTGTAGTGTGTTAGTGTGTGTGTGTGTGTGTGTGTGTGTGTGT